TCTTTCTTTCGCTGCTTCTTTTACTCTCTTCTAGTGTGTTTATATATGCATTTGTATATACTTTTTCTTGCTTGGGCCGGCGACGACTTTAACGACACACACCCACGCCGGAAAAGAAGAAAAGCGAAGAAAAAAAAGGGACACGGGAGAGGCAGGCGCCGGGTGCGTGTGCGGGGGCGTGCGGGAGGTGCGCCGGGGGCACAAAATAAGGCAAACACTGAAGCGAAGAAGAGTAAAAAGCAAAAAACAAAACAAAACAGAAACAAAAAAGACGACGACGTACAAAAAAAACGAAAGCAAAAAAAAGTAAAAAGAGAAACACCGCAAACAAACATGCAATAATAATAGTAAAAAAAATAGAAAAGGCGGGAAATAACGCCAACCACGTTACTTGGTGTAAGAAAGAGCGAAGTGACGAGCATTTCCCTCTGTGCTGTCGTGACAGCGCTCTCAGATGCCTCCCCCTCCCCTGCTTAACCGCAAAACAACCGCCCACCAGAAAACAGGTGGAGGAATCAGACAAAAAGTGAAAAAAACAAAGGCAAAACAACAAAAAAAAGCGACAACCTCAACGAAGACTGAACTCACACACCCACACAGGTGCGGGTGGAAGAGGCACTCGTGAGGAGTGTGAGGGCGTGCTTAAATAAGTTCTCCTGTGACTGCGGGGCGAGGCTGGACGCCATCTCTTTACCGCCTTTGCTCCCGTTTTTTTTTCTTTTACTTTTTACTCTCACCACCGTCCCCACCACTGTCAGTTTCTCTGGGATCGGTGCTCAAGCTAAGGAGGAAACAAAGGCGAAAGGAAGTCAAAGAATACTTGCAAAGAAGGAAGAAGACGAAAAGAAAAGAGAAGGAGAGGAAGACAAAAAAAGGGCAGGGAAATCATGCTCCGTCGCCATCTTTCTCTGGCCACAGTTGGAGTGGCAACCGCGCTCGGCGTTGCTGCGTCCAGGCGTTGCCTGCACTACGCTCCACGCGTCAGGGATGTTCAGTTCCTCATGGAAGATGTATTTAACATGTACCCGCACTACGAAAAGCTGGGACGGGCTGACGTAAACAAGGAGCTCTTTGATGCCCTACTCGAGGAGGCCTCAAAGTTGGCCACGCACACACTTCTCCCGCTTTACACCTCCTCCGATGATGAGGGGTGCCATCTGCTGAAGGATGGAACGGTAACAACGCCCAAAGGCTTTAAGGAGGCGTACGAGGCCTACAAGAGTGGCGGCTGGGTTGGCATTTCACTCCCCGAGGAGTACGGTGGGCAAGGTCTGCCAGGATCCGTTGGTTTCACCCTGCGAGAGTTGCTCGCAACCGCGAACTGGCCCTTTGCGATGTACTCTGGCCTAAGCATGGGAGCCGCGAACACGCTTCTGGCGTGGGGGAGCGAGGAGCAGAACAAGACGTACCTCACCAAGCTTGTCAGTGGGGAGTGGACCGGTACCATGTGCCTCACCGAGCCGCAGTGCGGCACGGATCTGGCGCAAGTGAAGACGAAGGCAGAACCGTGTGGCGATGGCACCTATAAGCTGCGGGGGACAAAGATTTTTATCTCCGCCGGCGATCATGACATGACGGAGAATATTGTTCACGTTGTCTTGGCAAGGCTGCCGGATTCCGTGCCCACGACAAAAGGCATTTCGCTTTTCCTGGTGCCACGTAATCTAGTAAAGCCAGATGGTTCACTGGATAAGAAGAAAAATGTTCAGTGTGTGGGGTTGGAGTCCAAGATGGGAATTAAGGGGAGCGCCACGGCGCAGCTGAGCTTTGAAGACTCGGTGGGCTACCTTATTGGTAAGCCCAACGAGGGGATGAAGGAAATGTTCACGTTCATGAATACGGCCCGCGTGGGAACATCGCTGCAGGGTGTTTGCCACGCTGAGCTTGCGTTTCAGAATGCGCTGAAGTACGCCCGCGAGCGTGGCTCCCAGCGTTCTCTCAGCGGGGTAAAGTGCCCTGACAGGCCCAACGATCCCCTTGTGTGGCATCCAAACGTCCGCCAGAATATCCTGTTTGCAAAGGCCATTGCCGAGGGAGGTCGTGCCTTCTTAATGGATGTGGATCGTCTGCTTGACATTCAGGAGGTCACCAAGGACGCGGCAACGCGGAATGCACTGGAGCACGAGATTGGCTTCTACACACCCATCGCCAAGGGGTGCCTGACGGAATGGGGCCTGGAGGCCTCCTCGCGTTGCCTGCAGGTGTGGGGTGGACATGGCTACATTAAGGGTAACGGCATGGAACAGATTCTTCGTGACGCGCGTATTGCGACGCTGTATGAGGGCACCACAGGAATTCAGTCCCTGGACTTTATTGGTCGCAAGGTGCTGCGCTCTAAGACGGACGAGGTCTCTCGCGTCGGTGGCAAGGTGAATGCGCTTGCGCGGTCGCACTTCTTCTTGCGTGGTCCCATTGGCAAATTCTCACGGCGGCTGTGGACGTTCCAGAAGCAGTGGCGCCTGGCCATCACCAGGGTGAAGATGGGGGCGCTGAGCGACATCGACTCCGTCGGCGCCGCGTCGGAGGATATGCTGATGTGCACCGGCTACCTCTTGCTGGGCTACTACTGGCTGCGCATGGCCATCGCCGCGCAGAAGAAGGTTGCCGCCGGCCAGGACCCGGATGGCTTCTACCAATGCAAGCTGGACCTTTGCGCGTTCTTCTTCCAGAACATCCTCCCACGCGCGGACACGCACTTTCAAGTCTTGCAGGCCGGCTCCGACATCGTGAAGAGCAACGAGGCGGCGTGGGACCTCGCGTAAAGTTGGGAGGGAGGGGGCGCCCCAAGCGGCGGCGACGGTGTTGCCTGCATTCAGGCAGACACGCCCGCAAACGCCCACCCGATGCAAAAAAAAAAAAAACAAGGCGCCGAAGCGAATGAAATGACTGGGGCAGGGGTGGGCAAACTACGCCCCTTAGCAAGGAACAAAAACGGCAGCAGCAACAGCAGCAAGCGGCATCAAATGTGATGCGAAATACAATATAAAGTGAAACAGCAATAACAGCAACGAAAGCAAACAATAAAAGAATGGATATATTCCCCGTTTGATGTGCGAGCGCAATGAATCTTATGTGAGCTCCCTTTGCTTCTCTTTCTTTTTCCCCTGCTCATCTTATTTTTGGTTCGTCAAGAACTCTTTCTGCGTGTGGGCGGCTGTCTGCCTCCCTCTTCCCCTTCCCTTCCCTTCGCCTCCCCTCTTTCCCTACATCTCTTCCCCCCGTTACAGGCCTCGTGCTGCGGGGGAGATGCGGAGAAGGAGAAGAGGCACGCGCGTCTTTCACGCGGTGCGGAGTTGAAGGGCACTTTCCTGGGGCGTGGGCGAGCTCGAGTGCTGTGGAGAGAGAGGGAGGCCGTACACACACACGTGCGTGCGGGGAGCGAGGGGGTTGAGGGACACAAATCGCAAATCAGTTACGATTGAGTGAACACGAGGAGTGCGTGAAGGCGACGCAGGAGGCGGTGCGACTTCTGCCTCTAGTTACGTGCCCGCGTGGATGAGTGGGGCAAAGATAAAATCTTTGATCTTGTTTTGGTTGATGCTTTTGGACTTTGCTCTCCCGCCGCATTGCTTCCTTTCCGCTGTGTCTGAAGTGGGGCGGGGGAAGTTTGTCCATTCTTCTTTGTTTTTTTTTTTTTGATTTTCCTTCCGGCTGCCCTCTCCGGGCGCTCTCCTCAGAAGAAACACTGCCGTGGGGGGGGGGGGGCGACGGCTTCTGCGGGCGTGGGACAGTAATTGTCTGGGCGCGCAGTGGCCCGACAGCAGGTATATACATATATATATGTATGTATGTATGTATTTATATATTTGTAGTTTGTATGTATGCGTCTGCGGTGCATGTCTGCAATTTTCTCTGACTGCGTGTGTGACGTGAGGGAAACGAAGCAGCGCTCCTCGTTTCGTGGCATCGCCATTCGGTGCGTTTGTTTGTGTGTGGCGTGAGGGAAACGACAGGGAGGAAAAGAAGGGGATTGACGCAAAGGAATCGGTTCATGTGGTCACTTGTTTTTTTTCTTTTACTATTGTTGTTGTTGTTGTTTCTTTTTGCTCTTGTTTTTTTTTTGCCTTTGCTTTTGTTTTCGCTTTCTTCCCCTCTCTCTTTTTCGCCTCTCTGTGAGTGTCCAATTCCGCACGTGCCTCAACCGCGGTGCGTGGTGCTACGCGACTGCTGCCTCTTCCATATACTTTTTTCGCGCCGCACGCGTGTGTGTGCGTTTTTTTTTTCTTCTGGCGCCCGCGCAGAGAAAAGGGGGGCCGATACGGAGAGTGTCTCCCTGCGTCTGTGCGTGTCTAGCGAGCAGGAGCAGGAGGAGAGAGAGAAAGAGGGAGGGAGGTGTGGAGGCGGCGGTGTAGAGCTCCGCCCTTGCCGCCAAACGCAGAAGCGGAGAAGAGGGAAAGAAGGAGGGGAGGAAAAGGTGGCGAGCGGCGGCAACTCTGCTGGGGCGCCTGCGAATGTCGGCGGCGGGCTCGCGCGAGGAGATGTTGGAGGCGCTGCAGAGGGCGAAGCAGGCGATGGCGCGTCGCGTCCCTGCGGCGCCGCAGCAGGAGGAGGCGCCCGCGGCGGGCCGCGCACTGCAGTTGCGGGGTGCCGAGGCGTCGCCTCCGCCGCCGCGGCCGCGGCCGCAGGTCCACTCCGAGGCGCGGGAGAACCGAGGCCACTTCTTCGACACGTGGTGCCGCAAGATTGAGATGTTCGTCGCGGACCCCACGAAAACGATGTTAGAGCTGCCGAAGGAGTTGGCGGCCAACGACCGCCGCGAGCTGCACAGCCTGGCCGAGCGGTACAACCTTAGCCACCAGTCCCGCGGCACGGGGGCCACGCGGCAGCTGGTGCTGAAGAAGGACGCCCTTCACTACAGAATGCCCGACATACGCCCGGATGACATTGAGGCAATTAAGCAGAAGGCCGGGAGTAAGGAGTCCAAGTTCCACCTGCGTCGCGTCGTGCAAGACGCTGACGTGGCGGTGGGGTCGATTGGGGCCTTTGCAGACGAGGCAACGGAAAACATGGTCCGCCGCCTGGATCGCGCGACAGATGAGTATCGCAAGGCGGTGGAAGTGGGCTACTCACAAGAAGAGCTGCTCGCACTAGAGGCAGGGGAGAGCGTGGAGGACATTTTGCGTCGTGGTGACGAGAGGGGACTGCTGCAGGCAGCTATTGCTGCGCAACCCGGCGACATGGGCGGTTCCGTTCCGCCTGTGTCGACGCCCGCTGGCGGCGAGGCCGCCCCTGGCGCCTCGCTAGACGGCAGAAAAAACAAGTTTTACGACGAGGTTTGCCTTCGCTGCGGGGCACGGGCACGTGTGGATTACGATGTGCAGAAGTGGGAGTGCAATGGGTACTGCGCCCAGTGTGCCGCGCAGACGATATGGAAGCTGGTGGAGCTGGAGAGTGTCACGGAGGAGCTTGTCTACGCCTCCACGCCGGCGGGCCGAAAGCGCGGCCACCACGAGGCGGAGACGGAGACCTCGCCGGCGCGGCAGGAGCCGGAGGAGATTGACAAGGACAACGACGAGGATGACACCATCACCGTGGAGGATGTGGTGGATATGGCCAGCATGAACGACTTCTGTGCCGCGGATGTCAACTGGATTCGCCGTTTCGCGAGGCATCATCAGCCGCAGGGCAGCGGAAATATTCTCAGCCGGCACATTGTGTTTTGCATCGAGTTTGGGGACCTCTACAGCATGCGCATTTTCCGCGACTTCCTCACACCAGGGCACACAGAAGGTGCTGAGAGGGAGCGAAAACGCCCGAGAGGAGAGCCCAACACGGGCGCTCAGAAGGATGCGGGCCAAACTGGGTGGTTTCTGCGCCTTTGCGAGGTCAAGGACACCGGGGTGCCCTTGTCCACGCTGCTGGAGGAAGTCAGCTCCTGCATTCCCGAGCGATACGATCGTCTTGCCGTTGCTTTTCCAAACATGTCTGTGTATGGGGCAGTGGCCACGTGTGTGTGCCTTGTTCAGTCCGATGCGGTGCAGGAAGGCGCCTTAGAGTCTCTACAAAGGAAGTACGGGAAGAACTGTGTCCGCTTCGCACGAGAGCTTCGCATCGTCCTTGCTAACGACGATGAGGGCTCTGCATGAGTGTCATAAAATTTTACTACACACACACACACAATTCTAAAAATTTTTTTTGGCCTCTGTTGGCTTATTTCACCTCCAGTTACAATGCTTCTTGTTGTTTGCTTCTTGCCCCTCTCCTCCTCCTTTCTGGTTCTGCTGCTGCTGCCATCGTTGTTGTTGTTGCTGTTGCTCTTGCATTACGTACTCTTCCTCGGCTTTTTTGTCATTTCTCTTCTTTGCGTGTGTGCAGTGGCAAGAGAAGGCGGTGCTGCCGAGTCCATTGCGGCGATGCGCAGTGGTGCGAGTGCCGTGGCCGCGGTCGGTTTGCACGTGGCGGCAACCGCCGTGACTGCACGGAGGGGTTGTGCCGCGTTACCGGCGCGCCGCGCGGCGGACGCCTCCGACGGCAAACTCCCCCAGGGGAAGACTGCCAAAGCAAAGGAGCCGGCACCGGCGTCGCCTGCGTCCCACGCGGTCTCGCCCGCGGGGGAGGATGCGTTTATCAACCCATTCACGGGCCGCCTAACCCCAGCAAGCAGCCGTGTGGCGAAGGAGCTGCTGCGTGTGGGGTTTTTGCGGAGTGTGGTGAACCCATTCCGCCTCACATGGGATGCGGCGAAGTGGCGTACGGCGAGCGCCGCCGCGCTGAGGCCTTTTCAGACCTCAGTGGTTTCGTGGCGGAAGAACTTGGCGGCGCTGCTGACCCGGCCGGACGCCGCTGACGCCGTGGCGGAGGAGATGCAGCGGTTGTACAGTGAGCTCACAAGCGCGTACCTGCCACCCAAGCTGGACACCATGCACGACCCGCAGCTCTCCTCAATGATCATGACGCCCGACCAGGAAAATGCCATCCGCTGCGCCCTGCGCGGGTACAATATGTTTGTTGGCGGGGGCGCTGGGACCGGCAAGACTGTACTGCTCAAGGCGATGCACCGCCGCCTGACGCAACTGGGGCTGCGTGTGGCAATGACAGCCAGCACCGGCGTTGCCGCGGTGCAGATTGGCGGGTGCACGTTTCACCTGGCCTTTGGGGTGCCCGTCGGTGCGGGGGAGCAGCAAAAAAAGCGGTGGGACGCCAACGCGCTCCGTGCGGTGGACGTGGTAATCGTCGACGAGGTCTCCTTGCTGGACGCGGAGCTCTTCGACGCCTTTGAGTTGGAGGCGCGAATGGCGCGGCTTCAGGCACTTCCCTTTGGCGGTCTGCAGGTGATCGCCTGCGGAGACTTTTTACAGCTCGCGGCCGCGGACAGCACGTTTAGTGGCCCATGCTACCAGAGTGATGCCTTCCGCCACCTCATCGCGGTGCGGCTGGTGACGCAGATGCGCCAGGCGCAGAGTGATCCCCTGTACAAGATGCTGGCGCAGCTGCGTGTGGGGAAGTTCGACCGCAATTCCTTCGCGCTGCTTGACCGCGGCATACCCGAGGACAAGGACAACGTCACGTACATCTTCCCTCGGCGTCGTGACGCACAGGTATTAAACGATGCGAAGTTGGGTGAACTCCGGAGCGAGGAGATGGCGTTTGCGCCGCAGCGGGGGCCGCTGCAGCTCGTCGGAAGCTTCACCCCCGCCGGCCTCATTGAGTTTGCCAAGAAGCAGACGCCCATGACCCGGGAAGAGGTGGTGCAGGCGCTGACGGAGGAGGTTAGGCGAGCCGCCGCGGTGGATGTCGTGGACCACAACGTCGTGGTCATGCCGGTCCGAACAGAAAAAAACGGCGTGCTCGTTCGTCTCCGCAACCCGGAGGACATCGGCGCGGGGAGGCCCAACACCGCCGCCGCCGCCGCCGCCGCCGCCGCCGCCGCCGCTAGCAGCAGCAGCGGCAGCAGCATCCCAGAGGACCGCTGGAAGGCAATCTTGGAGGCCACCGCGGCGCGCCTCAAGGCAACACTTCGGCGGGTGTACGCGGAGGATCCGCAGGGGTTTGTCCCGACCAGCGTCTCCATGATGCTTGCCGACGTTTCAAGTCACCCAAGCGCCGAGTACCTCATGCCGTTGCGGCTCAAGTTGGGCTGCCGTGTGATGATCAACCGGAATCTCTCACGGACGGTTTCGAATGGTAGCGTCGGCGTGGTTGAGGCCTTTGCTGCTCCCAACCCGGACTTGTTTCCCCGGCGTCATGAGGCTTCGTTGCGGACAATGTATGGGCGGCTGCTTGAGAAGAACTTGTTTCCAAAGCTCCCCATTGTTCGCTTTCTGGACGGCGAGGTCGTGCAGGTGCCCCCGCTTTCTCTCATGGTGGGCGGCACACCCTCAACCTTCTTCTACGGTCATGAACTGTACCTGTTGCCGCTGCAGCTGGGCTACGGGTTTACAGTCCACAAGGTTCAGGGGCTTACCCTGCAAGGGACTGTTGTGCTGGACTGCAAAAACTTCTTTGAGTGTCCACATCTCATTTACGTGGCGTGCTCCCGTGTGCGGTCGCTTGATCAGCTCATTGTGAAGAACATAAAGGCGGACATGGTCATTGTGAAGCGGAGTGCGCTGGAGTTTTCGGAGCAGTTAAGAGACGCTTCCGACTTCACAAATTTGGTGCCACCGGAGGGCTGCACTCGGGCGTCTTGGGTGGATCGCCTGTCTCCACGTCTCATGGGGTTGGGTGAGTGACGCAACAATACTGCAGCTGCGGAGGACGCTGCTTTATTCCCTCCGCCTTTCTATTTCTATTTCGTTTATTATTATTATTTTTTATTCTATTCCCTTTTTTTTTTCCTATCTCTTTCTCTGTGTTCTTCACATCACAGTCGTGTGTGCGTGCAGCACCACCACCGCCACTGTCATCGCGTTCTCACCGCTTTTTATATATATATAAATTATTTTGTTTTGTTCCGACTGCGCTGTGGCGGCAGCAGGTTGCTGTTGCCATTCGATCAGATGGCCACTTGCTGTTGGCTGCGTCCAACGGCGCTTGTGTGCAGTGACGCCCGACGGTGCGGCGGCGGTCTTCTGCGGCGCCGCGTCCCCGTTGCGCCATGCGGCAAACGCCGCTCACTCATGTCTTTCTTCCCTTTTTCCCTTTTTGCTCCGTTCCGTGACTGTTGTTTTTGTTGTTGTTGCTCTTGAGTGTCTCTGCGAGGTCATTTCTGCAGAGGATCCTGCGCGAGGCGGAGAGGCGGCATGGTACAAACGGCGGGCCTCTCGCGGGCCTACGCGGTCCTTCGGCAGCTCGAACTGCTGCGCCAGCAAGACGTGCTCGACCCGCTGCCGCCCGACCCTGACGCGGAGGCCGGCAGCTGGCGGCCGGCGCCTGCGGCGTCCCCGTCGTCGGCTGCCCGCCACGCCGCGGAGACGCGGTCTCGGCGGGGCGCGTCCCTCGTCACCGCCCCCCAAGCAGGGAGCAGCGGCCGAGGGCCGGCAACAGCACACGCACCGCGGCGCGCCGGGGCCGAGGCCGAGTCGAGGGAGCTGACTTCGACGCGCGCCGTCGACTCGCCAGTCGTGGACGGTGGAGGCAGGGAGCCGCGGCTGGTGGAAGCGTACAGCTACGACACCAACGATCTCGCGGCGACGGGGAGGCGGCTTTCGCCGCACCCCTCGATGGAAGGAAGGAATCAAGCGCTGCAGCGTGTGCTTCAGGAAATTGTGGCGCTGCGGAAGCAGGCCGCGGCAAAGGCAGGGAGCTCCAGCCACGGCGACGTGTGTAGTCCACCGCAGCAGGCGACGGGGGAAATGGACGGCGGTGTTCCGTCTGCCTCAAAGAGCAGCGTCAGGCAGGCGCTGCCGCGGCTACTGTCGCCGTCGCGGGACACCGCTGAGGAGGGGGAGGTTTTCTTCGATGACTTTCCCTCCGCGCTTGCCGCACGTGCCCGCAGCACACAGTGGCGTGAGGAGGGAAAACGCCCTGAGGAGAGGAACGGAACTCAGCGGCGTCACGGCCACGAAGTCTCCTGCGCTGGTGACGGCGGGGCGGGGGAGGAGGCGTGTGACGAGGCCCCGCACACAAGCAAGGGGGCGGAGAGGCAGCAGGATTCCGCCGTCGCTCCACCGGCACACAGCCCGCCGAGGAGGACGAGGGACGTGCTTACCTCCTCAGCTGTGCGTGAGTACACCACGTCCCTCCTGCGCCAGCGTCAACGGCGCCTGGAGGAGGTCCACGGTGAGATTCAACAGCAACGGGCGGACCAGCGCCAACGCAGCAGTGCTTTTGACCCAAATAAACAACCCGAGCTGACCCTGTCGACAGCCTTTTTCTCGCCCATTGCCCGCGTTGCGGATCCTGACGAGGGCCTCTCGCCGCTTCCCAGTCGAGGTCTGGACTTTGACGCCGAGCAGAGGGAGGTTGTGAGTCCACCACTGACTGCATTCCTTCATGAGGTGACAACCATGGGGTCAGCTGAGATGCAAGAGAAGCTGCGTGGGATGGAGGGCTGCTGCGATGGCTCTGCGGGGCGATGTCGGCAGTGGTTCGCACTCACGGCTCTTGCGAACACGCACGACGCCGTTCGCCACATCATGCTCCCACTGCTGCTTGCAGAGTTGGCGGAGCAGGCTGAATCGAAGGAAGAGGACGCAGGTGACGCCAATTCGCGTATGTCGCACATTCTTTGCGCCTTGATCGGCTTTGGAGGGCTGGCTGCAAGTGCCCTTCCACTGCTGCTTGAAACGCTCACGCACGCTGTTGGGTGTCCTAGGCTTGTGGCCCTTGCGATACGGGCCGTGGGCGGCGATGAGGGTCTGCGTGCGCTGTGTCGCGTGGCACGCTGCGATCGCATGCACCCTGGCGTCCGGGCGGCCGCCGTCTACGGCATTAGTACGCTGGCCTACCCTGTGCTGGGCCACACGACGGTGTACTGCGTCGGTGCGCCTGGGCTGAGTGGCGTGCTTGTCTTCTACCAGCCGCCGGTGCCAGCGAGTTACATGGAGGTGGGGACCGACGGCGAGCGACGCCGGGAGCCGTCGCTGCAGCGCCCACCGCCGTATAGACCCACGCACATTATACTGAGTGCTGAGGTGATGCGCAAGCAACTCATTCAGTTCACCGCCACAAGGAATTTTAGACGCGCCACGAGCAGCTATGAAACCCTGCCGCTAGTTCTAAGCGATTTTGCCCGCGATGCGCCTGAGGCATGCCGGCAGCAGGGCCTGCCTGACGATGTGCAGGAGGCGCTGCATCAGTGTGCGCTTGAGCTGGACGACGTGTCGCATGCATCGCCCCGTGTGCTGCCATTTTCGTACGACCCACACTATGCTGGTCGTGAGGAGGAGTTGTTTGCCGTGGAGGAGGTCCTCATGACGATTCTCCACAACCGAAGAACACCGCTGAGTGTGGTGGAGCAGACACTCGTGTCCGTCGCCTCGCTACCGGATTTTGCCACGACGCATGCTGCGTCGCCAGTCCTTGATTACGTCATTCGCTCTGTCTCACACTTTGAACAGCAGGGCGGGGGCGCCATAGACGGGGAAGAGAGTGTTCTTGTGGCGGGGCTCGTGGCACTGGGGCGGCTGCTGCGAAATGAGGGGACCTCGCCCAGCGTGATAGACACCGCCTGTGGTGTGCTGCTGCATAACTTGTCCTCGCCGTCGTGTCGGCTGCGACACGCTGCCTGCGTTGGACTCGGTGAGGTGGGCGCCGTGTCGAATAGACCGGGGGACATCGCCCGCGCCCTCACCGCGGCCCTGAACGATGCTGCGATGAATCACGAGACCGTCGCATGGGCGCTCACCCGTCTGGGCCTCCGCGGCGTGCGGCTGCTGCTGGACCGCATCGCCCCTCCTCCTCCTGCTCCTCCTGCTGCTGTTGGTAGTAGTAGTGGCGGCAGTAACAGGCGGGACACCAGTGACGACGGTCGGCGTCACTCTGTGGAGGTTCTCCCGGCCTCTGTACGCATGCTGTGCGCTCGGGCGCTGGGGAAGGTTGACTTCTTGACCGTTTCGCTCGGCGTCCACGAGGACGCTCGCCGACTGCGGGAGGAGTTGATGCGAAGCCTCGCCGCGATCCTCGCAGCTGCCCAGGTGGAGGAGGAGGTCGCGCTGGAGTGCGCCTACGCCCTTGGAGAGGCGGCGGGCACGTGCGTCGACGGCGGGACACCGGCGCCGTGCCGGGAGGAGGAGGAGGCGGCAAGCTACTACCGCAGCGAGACCCCGAATGAGGCCTTTGCGGTGCTTAAGGGGCTTGTCGAGGCGGTTCTGCTTCCCCTCCCTGTGGAGAAGGCGCTGTTTTACGCACTTTGCTGCTATGGCGGGGCGCACGGGGAGCTGTACGTCTCACAGACAGCCATTCAAAGCTCCCTCGTGGTGCTGCGCGCCGCCGCGGCGTTCGCGCTGCGGGTGTGTGGGGGCAAAGTCATCCGCACCGTTGTGCTGGCGCTCAACGATGACGACGCCGGTGTGCGGCTCGAGGCGTTTGACACGTTAGACGCTATTGGTGTTGAGGCCGTCCTGGCCGTTCTGCGGTTGCGTCCCCACCAACACACCCATCAGGTGGTTGCGGCGCTGCGGGACTGCCTGCTGCGGGACCTGGGGCGCGAGACAAGGCGTCAGGCAGCCCAGGACCTCTACGCGGCGCTGTTGAGGGCTTGAAGCATGTGCACTTTGCAGGTTGGGGGGCAACACGCACACACACGCACACAGCTGCAGTCGCGTGCATCAGGTGCCGTTGTAGTCGTGCCATTTACTTCCACAGAGGTGGTGTATGCGTTTTACGTTCCTTGGCCGCTCCCCTCTCCTTTTTTTCTTCTCCCCCCATATCTCTTGGTGAGAGCATACCACATAACATAATTGCGTATTTGTACGTATTTTCATTTCACTCCTTTCTTCTGCGTGTGTGTTTAGACGAATATCTGGTGTGCTCCGGATGTGTCCCATGCGGTTTCCTCCGGTATATGGTGCGGGTGCGTGCGGCTCATTGTCTCGCCTCTGCCGTGGCGTACTCTCCACCGATGCCGCGCAGACACACTCGCAGAGTTGACACGTGCTGCTCCGTTGCCTGGCGCTGTGTTTCTGCCATCGCTTGCGTGGTTTTGCGGCTGTCGTTTTTTTTTCTTCTGTGTGTGCGTTTGTCTTTACCTGTTGGGGGCCGCGTTGAAGAAAGGGAAGAGTCCGAGCGAACACAGCAAGCATGGGCAAGATCCGCACCAAGACGGTGAAGCGCGCGTCGAAGCAGCTGGTGGAGAAGTACTTCACCAAGCTGAACAAGGACTTCTACCAGAACAAGCGCCTCGTCATGGACGTCACCATCGCCCGCTCCAAGAAGCTGAAGAACAAAATCGCCGGCTACGCGACGCACATCATGAAGCGCCTCGCCCGCGGCCCGGTCCGCGGCATCTCGCTGAGGCTGCAGGAGGAGGAGCGCGAGCGGCGCATGGACTACGTGCCGGAGGTGTCGCACGTCGACCAGGCCATCCAGGACGGCGTGCACGTCGACAAGCAGCGCTCAGCATGCTGAAGCGCATGGAG